GAAGTGTGAAACTTGCCTCTGTTTTGGAAGTTATCGGGTGATGTGTATCGGAGGGTAGTCGTGTTTTTCTTTCTAGTTAAAGAAAGCTAGGTTAATGTTCTAAGAAACGTAGTGCTTCCTTGGTCAATATATAAGAAAGTTGTAATGTAATTCTTGGGGAAACCGACGACAGTTTTCCTAACTCGTCCCTTTCTCAAAATAGCCGACCGGAAGATCCTTACATAATTGAATACTTCTTAACATTTCGACTACCTGTCTGTTAAGTTCAATAAAATAAATCCAATAAGAGGGCTCACCGCCGCACGAAGGTTTTTGCCAAGCAATGGAAAATATAAATTCCACCTCGGACTGAAAAATCGGTCTCAATTATGGTGGACTTTGACACGGGATGGGATGTTATGAATATCTGATATTTCGGGCTTCGTTTAATAATTCAATGTAAGTTTCAAGATGGCGATCATATATTGATCACGTTGTGTAATATAAAGTGCACATAAGATCATAAATACGTTGAATTTGTTTATTCAAAACAAGGAAAGGGCCTCGCTAGTTTTATTGTATATGATATATTATTATTATGTTCATAAAAACGGGAATAAACCAATTTTCCGTTTATGGCCTCCCTCTTTTGTCTCTGTTTAGTCTGGACGGTTGTATGTAGTGTTGTCTCTTTCTAACCTCAATATACGCATAGTTATTATCTATGTTGCTCTTTGTCTGAGATATTGCTGTAATTTTTTTGCTGGCCCTCTATCGGGAAGACATAGATCTGATAATTTCGCTTTAGGTACGGATAATCCGGGCATTTTTTCTTAAATGATGATAAGGGGCGATATTTTACGGTAGACGAACCATTTTTCCTCGCTGTCTTCCTTAACTTTACAGTTTTTTCCGTTATTTTATGGATTATTAATTTCTTTACTTAAAGGATTATGTTTTTCTTTTTCTCTTTGGCGGAAGGGTCTTGATGGTATAACCTACTTTGTTGTATTTTTAGACTGGGAATATATTGCTTAGTTTCCGTCTTTGTGTGGCCTACATTCTTGAGGAATGAAGTCAATGTTAGATGTTACTCACACGCTGGTCCTTGGAGGCGTGCGTTGGCAGGGTGTAATTAATAAGCGAGGTGCTAGTGAGTGAGAGCGCGATAAGCCGCGCGCCTCTCGTAAATCACCCCGCTAATGACGCTGCATGGCTACACGGATGTCGGGAGCTGGAAGTGCGCGCACTTACACACCAACCCACTATTGTGGAATGGAACCTTTATTATTTATTATTATTATCCATTCCAAACCTTTTGTTCTTTGGAAAGTTAAAGCGAGAGACCAGAAAATGGTTTTTGTTAACTAACCGTGTTATGGCGTCTTGGTGTGCCAAAATGTATTTATTTATCGTTGAATTTTATTTTCAAATTATTTTATATTGTATGTATTTGTTTACAATTCAATCAATGTATTACAAATATAACATTGCAAATTAAAACAATATTTATTTTTGTTTTATACTGCGAGGAATTATTTAATATTTTTTTATATATATTTGCTATATGTAAAACCCGTGTTTTAACTCTTGTCATTAAATCAGAAGTGTATATAGTGTAAACAGTTGTTAGTTAAATAAATAACCTTATTTTACAAAATATTAAAAGAATCACAACACAACAAGCCGAAATTAATCAAATATAATTTAAAAGTGCGATCCGCAGAGGCACAGGTAACGAACGAACCGTCTATTCATTACCAAAGTTTACGAATTAAAACCGGTAAACATTTTGAATTATGTGCCATCCCGTCGTTTATAAAGCAACGGTGAATTACAGAGAATTAAGGTAAACCCGGAGAATTACGCTGAAATCCTGTAACGGTCGAATGAATGTTTGTAGTTGGAGAGGTTCTGTGGAATTATTACGTGGATGATTTCGGTCGAGTATGACTGGTATAATACTGGTTCAAAATCGCATTTGAGAAAAGCGAATTTTTGTGAAATTATTATTTTAGAAGGTACTCTTATGTTTGGTGTTATTGTATTGGCAGTTTATGTGTATTTATTGGCAAGGTTTGATTTAGTATAAAAGTTACTCAAACCTTGTACTAGTCAAATTTTATTCGCAGGTATTACATACTATAAGTCTAGATTGCGGGTCAAAAACAATATTCATATTAATTCATATTTATTTATTTGCAATAATGTACCATGAGTTAGGTCTAAAACAGAAGGAACGAGGTTTTTGTAGTCAGTAAGAGTCTGAAACGCCCTCTCAACAAACCCTGGGCGAGAGAAGTCATTTAATGATTTCTCCATCTCAATGAACAATTTAATTTCATACACATATCTTCATGATGTTTTAAAAAATCACTATTTGATTCTCAACCCTGTAAGTTTTCCTTTCCTCATAGCACTTTATTAGACATCTTCCAATTAGACAGAACTGAAGCCACATCCATTCCCTCTACGTTCCCGTCAAGTCTCTCACCCCGGTCTCTCGAAGCGCAAACAAACAACACTTCACGCACACACACACACACACAGCTACGTAAACAAACGTATTTATAAATCGCTTGCACTCAATTTACACAGCAGTAAATAGTTTTTAATTTATTGTGAGTGAATGCAGTGTAATTTAAATTCATTGTGAATGTTTGCGGTTAGTACTGCGTTTGGTTCAACAAAAGTGATATAGAACTCTACTGTTTAAATCAATGGCAATGTTTCGTGAAATGCAGTAGTTAAATTATACGAAAAAAAAATTAAAGTTAAATAATTTATTCCAACTACACCAAAAAGCAGAGGAAAAGGAGCATTTTTTTGAATTAGATGTCAGTTGGAGTTGGAGTGGAAAGACGTACTAGATCTCCCTATGATCATGCCATACATTTGCATGCCCCGTCGTACCACGTCAGTTGCAAAAGGAGGAAAAAATATAATCACACGCTTCAATATTTTGCTCCCAAATTGTGCCAAAATCTCCAGCTTGGGACACATATAGTGACGCAATATAATATGTCCGTCGGTCGCTTCGCGTCACTTCACATACACGATTACCGTAATGCGATTGCGCTTCGCCGTCGGCCAAGTGCGCGCGCCCTTAATTAGCGCTGCCCGCACAATAACCACCAGCGAAATTCAAACTTTACCTTCACACAAATACGGCTCATATTCACCCAAACAAAATATTCCATCGAAGGCAGAGTTAATTATGTGATCGCGAAATCACATTTGACGGTATCGGAAATCATTAAACGGGTGCGTGTTTTCATCACGAAATTTTAATTAATGGGCTGAAAGGGTTACAATTTTGTTAAGAATCGGTCTTTCAACTTCCTACTAAAATTAGGAAAGGTATAATTAATATTCGTAGTCAATTGGGCACTTTAACGCCGAGCTACGCTTTGAATACTACGAACTCGTAGCAAGTATGCTACGGCTACGTTGCTACGTGTTGTAGCCGATTAAAAATCGGTCTTTCAAATTTGTACTAAAATTAGGAAAGGTATAATTATTATTCTTAGTCAATTGGGCATTTTAAAGCCGTGCTACGCTTTGAATGCGACAAACTCGTAGCTTGAATGCTACGGCTACGTTGCTACGTGTTGTAGCCGATGAGCTACGAACAAGTTCGCGCTACGAATAAACCTATCCATCTCAATTTTTGTTGTGGTCCTTTGCTACGCGCAGTTAACTTCTATAGTTATGTAGTAATAGGCCATAATAGATTCATAGTATAACAATTAATAGGCCCGATAGTATCACTAAGTATCATAAAACCCGTTTATTTACCATATCAATTCGATGGGAATAAAAACGTAATAAAGGACGGTGTTAGACTGGGGAAGTTTTTAAGATGGCGGTCGACAATGGATTACGAATTTATTTGGGGTTCCCCGCTTTGGGAGTAAGTGTGCTGGAGACAGTTATATTGCTTAAGTTAATGCATAAATAAAAGGTAACAATATAGACTGGCTTTAAGGGCTCGGAAGCGGATGTTATAAGGTAGGAAAAAATTATGTTTATAGTTCGGAAGAAGTAGGTTGGAGACTTATTTATATTTCTATGTTTATCTAGGAAGAAGGAGGAATTAATCTTTGTAGTCGGTAGAATTGATCCTAGGTCTAGTTTAAGAGAAGTTGGTTGTGTGTGGTAGTGGAAGTGGAATGTTTATGTAAAATTTAATTTTTTTAAACATATCCACGACACAGGATAACATTTAGTGTGAGGCCACGAATAAAAAAACGGTCTTTGTTTGTCGCTATTTAAAAGTGATTGATCTAAAGATAGAAAATAATCAGGGAAACTACAAATTCACTAAAACGCAATTTGAACAAGAAAATATGGTCATACACCTTCCTGCAATGGTGGCTTAAACGAATAAACTATAACTGAAGATAAAGATCATATTTATTATCTAGCATAAATCGGGGTACGGGTAAGGAAACAGGTAATAACTAAAGCCATAAAATGTTCGCGTTTATGTACAACAGCAGTTATCAGGCACTTGATTAAAATTTTATTCTATTTTTACGTGCCATAAGAGCTATCAATTAGACACTTTTACTTCACAAAACTTCTTCGATACACCTAATAAATTATACATTTTTAAATGTTTCTAAGAAAATTAATATTTTTGTTAGTAACTGAAATGTACTTCGTTTTCTTTTCCTTCTTTTGAATGAAACCTTTCAGTTACATGCTTAGTAATAATTATCATATAATATAATAATTAAAATTACAAAACTGATTTTATTTATACGCTATTTGTTATCGCATTAATGATTTTCCATTAAAACTGTTCTAAAACAGTTTAGTATTACAGAAGTTGACGATTTGCCGTGGTAGTGGATAAAGAGCAGTAAATTACTACGGCCCTGGTTTGATGCAGGAGTTATAAAAGTTGGTTTTTAGTAAATAAATGTCTGCCACATCCTACCAGGGCAGGGGGAGATTAAAAAAAACAATGTATTGATGATTTGCATTTTTATGCTGTAAAGAAACAAAGTACTTACCACTTTCAGAGACTGAGGAGGGCGACCGCTCCGCCGTGGACACTCCCGACGACGACGATTCTAAAGACGAGAGCGAGTCAGCTCGCGTTGTGTGCGTATGCGTCATCGAGCTCTCCGATAATCTTGAATCTCTGGGTGCATCGCTCAGCTGGTTCAACCGCCGCTGTAGGTAGCGTTGCTCCCGCGCCAATTGCTCCTTGTGACTGACATGCCTCTTCTCTCGCTCTTCCAAACTCTGCAACAATATAGAGCTAGTGTTAAAACATAGAAAATTCAGAATGGGTTATGATAAACATTTTGCATCTAGTAGTTATCACACCTTGAATTTTCCTGGCGTTGAAATAGTATTGAAAATAAAACGCAAAATAATATAGAAAATACATTATTGCAAAACAAAACCTCGTAACAAAAGAAAGGTCATCGAAACATAATGCGAAAAAAAGATACAATTCCAATTAGACGATGAACAGAGGCAAACAATAATTTACTGTGAAACTTCTTCCCATATTAGCAGAACTACAGCGTAGACAGGGCAACATTTACGAAAGAGATTAATAGTATCAATAACAAGAAACTATTGGGTAATTAGACACACATAATGCGGTAGTCGAAACACATTAATCACTCGAGGCTGATTTACTAACTTAGGCCTTTGACGTTTAGCTTCAGTCATAACTAGTGTTCTTAGTTTCAGACAGATGGCTTGGGGTACGCAAATGAGATTATGCTGATGAAATGTTGGTTGATTATTAAATTGTCTTATTTGTATATTTAAATTATTAATTATGGTATGTTTCATATATTGTTATTTAGTATAAAACAGAATTGATTAACAAACTTCTATCTTTAAGGACTTTTACCGTCATCTTCACCATGTTAATACAAAAAACACAATAAACAACTTAATGATAAGACTCTGTGGGTGTAAAAAAGAGGAGCACCAATCAATAATCCTTTGTGAAGTAAGCTCGGTGCTGTAATTAATAAGTAAATATTAATTTATATCATCAATATTGACAAGGGAACACTAATGCTCTTATTGCAGCTTATAGTCCTCTTGTTCCGGCGACATCGAGTAGCGACAGCAAACAAAGCGAGCGAACAGAACGTCGACTCCTATCAATAAATACTTAATGACGCAACACGAAACATTTATAAAGTTTCGCCAGCTAAACATGGCATGTGTTCATTCGCCCCAACACATCAGACGGTCGACGTCAGCCTCTGCACATAGCAGTTTTTTGTGAAGCTCTTAAGAAAATGGCTTTTTCTAGAGCCCTATACACCGGGGACCGACCCGCGGGAAAAAAATGAGGATTATGTACGAGCAAGTTCGGGCAACTTCCAACACTGCAGGGTAGTCGATGAAAATTTCTCTCTTTTGTTTTTCTCTCAATGTGTCCATAGACTTATCTATACATTTATATACACAATGTATACTTAAATGGGAGTTACCGAGTTTCTTCGCGAGTTTAGAATGAATAGCTGTAATGTTGAATAATTCAGGTTATTTTCAGTACGGTTACGGCTTAATATAATTTTGGAATGTTACAGTCCGCTCTTAGAGTCGATGTATTTTTGGAGCAAAATGTAGATTATAATGAGTTAGGTAATGACTGTGTAATCAAAATAGAGTGAGGGTTATTACTTCACAACGCTTAATTTAGTGTTGAAATAATACTTGATTACACAACTGTTGAGTTGCTTAATGAACTTTTTAAGAATCGTTGGGTAAAAATGAGTAGACGTATTAAAATTCAACAAAACAATGAGTTTGATATTAACGTATTCTTTTTAATTTTTTCCCATGAGCGGGGAGGCGGCCACCCTTAGTAGCATTACAGTCAGGGCAGGGAAGGCCTTAGATGATATATCTGATCATAAATCTCCGGCAAGTCAGCGGACGGTGCAGTGCTGTCCTTATTTTGCAGTCCAAACGTTAAATGCCAGGGGAGATTTTAAATTTTCGCTGTTTTTGCGAATGATTAAATTATGGATGGAGAGAAATGGCCGTGGAAATTGTTTGCAGATGATGGATACGAAGCTCTTTGATTTTAAGGGAAATGTGAAGGCAATTTTGAAAAACCAGATGGAGTTTGCGCATTTGCATTGATAGATAGACTGGAATTAATAACAGACGAAGAGCTTTTTTTAATTTTGACGAATTTCGTGGATTTTCTTGTATTTTTTTCTGAAAAGTCCTGCTTGTAAATCTCATGTCCATTAACGCTATACTCACTAACACATTGTTGAAGTTTAGAAGATGCTTTTCGCATTAAGATTCAGAACCTCATTCCTGTAGGTAGACCCATCACCAAAGTATATAACGTACGTGTACCAGCAGAAATTATCCAATTTATACGTTCGAATGGACAGATTTCCAATATACTCGCACATAGGCACAAACCACAACCTTTGCTTTATCGATTTCCTGTCAGAGCATTTGAGCTCGAGCAATTCCGAATTATGTCATATTTGCTATATACGTCTGTACGTATATTGCATGGGCTATACCTATATTTTATGGATTACTGGTGGCATCCTACCCTCGTGTTATTGCACGCTATTTATTTTTTACGACCACCACCCCGTTTAATATGAGTAGATTTCGCCTCTCCAAATAATCCACTCGTATTGCAAAAACCGGTGATGCTGAATAATCTGTGCACTCCGCTTCTCAAAATGTTGATATTTTTTGAAGGATTTTCGAGAGAATCGGAAATAAAATGTTAAGTGACGACTGTTTCCAATGTAGGGTGAATATAAATGGGCACAAAAATGAATGTTTCGCTTTTAATGATGCGGTAGTAAGTGACAATCAGGACGGACGATTTAACACAGTTCGCGTTAAACGCGTATTTAAAACACAACTGACCCATTTCAACATAACCATTTGAGATTCTAAAGAGCTTTGTATTAAATTAAAACAAGCTCATTATAAAAAGAACAATACCGACGGAAGGCGTGGAATGTTTCCCATAAAACATGTAAATTTTGAGGCTGATGAATTTTAAACAACACTTCGGAGTATCACTTATAACTTAATTGGTTATTAGAAAAGTTTTCCAATCTGCATGAGGAATTGCTTGGTGGTCGGAATTTTTAGCCGCTGTAAAATATAGCCGACATTGTTTATTTAGGCAGACTTGATGGAAAGCGCCTGAGGAGTTCGCTCAGCAATTTGGTCGGTTTTTGAACTTTCGGTGTTATTTCATAGCGTCTGTCTTGGAGTTTTTTAAGGTTGTTATAAATGTTGCGTTGTACGAGATAGAAGGTAACAAATGCGATCAATTCTGTAACCAAATCCTAGTATTGCTAAAAAGAAATGTGTCACGTGAATTTCTTACCTCGGCTATATTTTTTCTTACAATCATAGTCGACAGGTGATCACCGAGTGGAAAATTAGATGGACCGCTGACCTGGAAACGCTCGCAAGGATCCGTTGGATATGAAGCCGTGTGTTGAGGCAGACTATTATGTAAACGTCAATCCACGAGTGGACGTCTTCTGACTACCTACTGATAAATTCTATCAATATTAAGGTTTATCGAAGCCTACGCTAGATTTAGGCTTTAAATAAGTAAAGATTCGATTCCTTTATTATTCCATTCGTGTTTGTTGAGGATGAAATCAATTTATTCTAATATGTACCTAAAGATTCTGGCTCTAAAAGATCTTGTAAAACATAATATTGAAAAGATTTAGATATTGCAAAGACCGGTTACAATATTTTGTTTCGAGACATCGCTTTCAAATCTAAACTCTACCTACAAGGACTTAGAACATAAATCTGAAATAAAAGCCAGATATCTGTATGCATGGCCGTTCAAAATGATAGATGGTATTTTGAGAGAGCAATTTTGTGAAACTTCGTGAGTGTATGTATGTTGTATCTGTGTTAGTGTTGTCTCAAGTTGCTGGCAATTCGCTGGCTTATCGCTTCACTGGGAATGGGGCGAAGGGTTGTCGAGTGAACCCAGAATTTATCCTTAAAAACATTTTTAATTTTTCAAACGTACCGTTGTGCTGCTCCCATTCTTTGTTTCATTTTATGAAAGCAGGGATTTTAAAAATTTGTTTCTGTATTTTCAAATATTCCATGTTGAAAAATATAAAGCAAAAATTGTGAGTAAAAGTGAGTATCGAGTTAGCAACTAATTGAAAGGAATGATTCGAAGCACGGCAGGCAATCATTTAGAAATATATTTTGAGCTCTACTTCTATATACACTAATTAACAATTTTAATGAACGTATTCATTGAATAATTTGTTATCATGACGTTTCAATTAAGGTACATATAACTTGACGAAATTAACCGGGCTTACATTTGGGTTTGAAATAAATAAATTAGGTATATAGATTTTCCTTCAGCCAAAATTGTTACGTTGATTGCTACAATTAGAAATTATAAGACTTTAATCTAGAAAATTGAGCATATCTGTTTCTGTATCATCTGCTACGACAGAAAGTTGCCAAAATCTCTTTGATGAAATAGCTCCACCGACTCATCCGTTGCTATGGCAACCACACGCTATAATTACAAGTAAATTCAATTCCACATCATGGTCTACATTCCCAACCCGTTCAAGCATTAAAGGATGAGGCACAAAGCATGAACCTTCACTTCACATGTATAATATTAGTGGGATCTCCCACTTACAGCCCTGAGTTCCGCACGGCTCATTACAACGTTCACGCGGGCCCCGTAATCGAGGATTTACGAGAAGCAAGCTACCATGTGCCGTATCACTCGCGAATTCATCTTAATTATTTCACTAGGCTAGTGACGAGGGTCTGATAATGTTAATAATTATTATGTTTTGGGTGATAACAGTACTATTAACTTTATTGGTATAAGTTTCTATTTATGGATGGACGACGAAATTTTGGCAACCTTTTGCTGCTATTTTAGCATTGTGGACACTAAGATAGCTCTTTTTACTGTGTGCTTAATAGACCTATGAAGTAACACTAGATATTCAAATAAATTTGAAATAGATTAGAATGACGATTGTGTAAAACTATTAAAACACAATGAAAGTTAAAATATTCTTCAACATGTAAAATATCGTTTCAAACGATTTGCATATCTATTACTTAGCCACAAGCAACTTCCCCAGGGTTCAAACATTCACAAAGAACAGCCAACGTGTTCCATAGCGATGATATTTCCAATTCCCATCCTGCACTACAATTTACGTAAGTCGTGAATGTTTTCAGCGAAACGCAAATGA